ATATAATATAAATATAAATAATATAATAATATAATAATAATAATTATAATAAATTTAATAATTATATATAAATATATATAATTTTATTATATAATTTATATATAATATTTATATAATAATATTATAATTTATATTTATATATTATATTATTTATATATATTTTATATATATATTATATTATATATAAAATATATTATTAATATTATTAATATATTATTAAATATAATATATTAAATCGTAACGCAAATAGAAATGAATTACCCTCCTCCCCCATTTTCCTTTGTTAAACATAATTAAGATATAATTATTCTTTTAATTTATTTAATATATGTTGAATAATAGAATGAACCAATAGTTCCTCTGTATTTTCTTCTTTTTTTTTTTTTTTTTTCTTTAATTAATATCCTCAAAGTAAATTTTATAAAAATAATTTATTATGTAAGTGTTTTATCAAACAACAAACTTACGAAGTTTTATTTCATCCTAATATAAATTAAATATGATAAATTAAATAAATAATATAATTTAACATTGTTAATCTTTAATTATAAATTAATAATTATATTATATATTTCATTATTATTATTATTATTATTATTATTGCAATACAAGAGTTTCAGTTCCACCACGTCGTACAACAATACCGTCCTTTTGTTTATTATCTTCTGCTGATTTTATTTTACAAGCGAATATTCTGCAATAAAATTATTATTATTATTATTATTATTATTATTGTTATTACAATGAAACATTTTTTTTCTCTTTGATTTGATATAAGAATACTTTTTTTGTTTATTTAATCTATTCACTTACGCTGCTATTTGATTCCATTGTTGAGTTTGTTTTTCATTTTTCGTAGCATCCTTGTCGACATTTTCTTTTTGCAATGACAAATTTTTCATTATTTCTTCTTCAACGGTAATCGAATCATTTAATTCGTCTTTGATACTACGACTTTTATCAGAACTAGACGATGCCTAAAAAAAAAAAAAAAAAACATTAATATATAAATTATTTATTACAAGATTGAGACATAATCAAATTTAAATTGAAATTATTTACATTCATTTCATTTTCCACTCTTTCTTCAATATTTTTCATTTTTGATATTGCATCCTCCAATTTTTCTTTTTCTTCTTTATCCTTTTTTTAACATAAACATTTAAATATATTATTATAATGAGATACATTTAAATAGCAATAATATATTACAACCTTTTCTATTTTCTCCTTTAATTGATTTATTTCAAACAACACGTTTCCTGTTGGACTTCCTATACCTGTTTCCAATGTGGATTGTACTGTGTTTGCTTTTTTATAACGTTCTTCCAAGTCACGAGACTTTTGTCTCAATACCTGAGTTTCTATAAACAATTATTAATTACTATATATTTAATTATATTCAATATATATAGAGAGTAGATAGAATATATAGAATACTATAGAATATTCAATACAATATACAACAATATACAATAATATATAATAATTATTAATTATTATATATATAGAATACATATAGAATACATATAATATATATAGAAACAATTATTAATTATATATATTCAATTATAT